TTTTTTTATTTATTATCTTTCTTAACATACAAAAATAATCTACTTTTATCAGGGGCAGAGTCATAGTATTGGTTACGGGTTCGGTCAGATCCAGTAGTTTTTGTTCAAACCCTATATTTGTATTAAGAAATCTAATAAATATATACAAATTATTAATTCAAAACTCAGTAATTAACTTAGAAGAGTTATAATCCCGAACACATAAAGTTCAAATCTTAACTTCGCCTCTACCTTTTATAGTAGTCTTCAACGTAGTGCCGTTATTTCTTACGAATAAATATGTTTGTTAGATTGCTAGACCACTTCCTTGATTAGTATTTTAAAAAAGTTTTATAACTTTAAATTCGAATTAATATAGTAAATCGTTGTGTTAATTCAAGACTGTAAACTATATCAAATTTGAATACTAGTATTTTGTTTTATATCTTATATTAGTGTTTATATTATTTAGGACAAGAGGTAGACTAATACCAACAACTAATTTCTTGATTGTTCTTTGTATTGGAGTATTGTATTTAAACAGTAAAATCAGTAATTACAGTGGAATTAAATAGGGTAAATTGAATGGTAAAAGACATTACCTAGAAGCTAGATATTTACCTCGAAAAAATCAAATCTGGTACAGTACGATCACGCCCCCGTTTGTCTTCACATTTTCGTTCTTCTAGTACCTTCCATTTAGCTCAATCAGCTACCACTCTATTCTCCACAAATTAAAAAGGGAAATTTTCTTTAGTCCCTCAAGTATTGTAAAAATAGCAATGTTGATCCCTATAGTTTTTGACTAAATAGTGGATTTTTAATTCATAAAATTATTTCATTTCTATCGTTTGAGAAGTAAATTTTCATATATTTAACTAATATTTATTTATTTACATGTGATTTCTCATCTTTAGCCTTTAAAAAGGATATAATTATTACTTCCCTTTCCCTTCATGCAATGACACTTGACTTAGTATGAAGAGAAAGAAAGTACTACTCAACTAACATGCATAAAATGTTTATGCTTTGAAATGAATTAAAATAATAATTGAAAATTCAATTTGATAATTAAAATAGCATGTTATTTTAAAATTGTACTTTATAAATGAATACTATTATTGTTAAACTAAGTCACAATGTAAGGTTATAAAATAGGAGTCACATAAACTAAAAGACGGATAATAATATAACTTTCTATTTTACGTTAATATTATATTGAGTTTGTTGAAGTTAAGTAAAGGATAAAAAATGGTAACTTATCAATTGGAGGTTAAAAAGTTTGCATATTCAAACGTAAAAATGCCTTGTTAACGAAGTAAGAATATATCATGCTAGATTAGATACAAATTTAGGTAGAGGTAAAAAAGCATGTGATTTCATCATTTATGTCTACGTATTTATTGATAAAATTACTATGTTGACAAGAAAGAATAAGAAAGATTAGTCGAAGCGTGCACAAACATATCCAAACACAACATTATTAAAAAGAGGTAGCTAAATTTGATAATGAAAGAGTATATAGGATCAAACATTAAATTGACTAATAATTGAAGGACTAAAAGCAAAATCATACCAGTATAAAGGCAGCTACAGATTCATCTTTTCTCTCTCAGAATCTCTGCAACTTTTTCTCAGATACAGTAAATTCACCGAATTTGAAGGATTAGGGTTTTACTTTACTGATAATGGCGGAACACGAGGAGCGTAAAGTGGAGAAATCGGATGAGCATGAGGAGTCTGTAATGGAAAAAATCACTGAAACACTTCATCTCAGTAATAATAACCATCACTCTTCTTCGTCTTCTTCTGATTCTGATGACGATAAGAAAACGACGTCATCTCCTCCCGTAACGTCGTCGTTTAAGTCTAAAGTTCGTCGGCTTTTTGGTAGGGAACGTCCTGTTCACAAAGTCTTCGGCGGTGGTAAACGTGAGTCTCTTTTTTGCTTTTTTCAATTACTCTAAATTTTTTCAGCTCTTTGTTTTAAAAAAAAGGAAAAAAAATCTAATTTAGTTGACTAATAACAGAGTGGAACTTTTATTTGATTAAGGATTCATATTTGGATTGCTACGCTATTTGCGCTTTAGATATTCTTTTTTTGTGGGTTTTAATTGTATATACTTGTTCGCTGTTTTTTAGATCTGGATCTGTATATTAGTGTAATTATAACTTTAAAAAGATTGTAAAAGTTTTTGGCTTTTTGTTTAGTTTAATGGGTTCAGATAGCTTGTGACTATTGATGGATCACTTTGCTCAAAATATTAGGCATGAGTGTTGCCTTTTTACCTTTGAGATGATTATGGTGTTTGCCCTTCTGCTTGGATTAATTACTAGCATAATTTATTTTAAAATTCTTTTTTGTGGTTGGGGGGGGGGGGGGGGGGATTGGTCAAGTGTACGGTAAGCCTTGCGATATTTTAGCTTAAGGGCAAAAATATTTTTGAGGTATTTAGATCAACATTTTGGGGAGGAAATATTTTAAATATTAGTATTATTATGTTTAGTTTGTATAATATTAGCCTGAAACGAGTTTATAACATTGTTGGTGAGACCCCAACTTTTTTGGGATTGAGACTTAGTTGTTGTTGTTGCATAGTTGTTATTGTTATTGCATTCAGATAGCATTTTAATCTAGTCCAAATGGAGCGGATTGGATGTAGAGAATTCATATATTGAGCAGACCTAGCTTAGAAGTTAAAGGTTCATTGCAACCAATAACTTTGACGCTAAACCTTTATATACATTAACATTTGATAAATTAAGTACACACAATGGACTCTGAACCTAGTTAATCAAATTGGTTGTGGTAGAATTCCAAACTCAAACCTTTCTCAAAACTAAACCAAAAAAAATAAAATAAAGAATTTCGAACTCTCAACCATAAAGTTCAAATCTTGAATCCGCTTCTATAATTATATAGCTGATCCAATTAGTATTTTTTAGGCATAGTTGATTGATGTGGAAATTCATAATTCACACGATGTATTGTTCGGTGGTGCAGCTGCTGATGTGTTCTTGTGGAGAAACAAGAAGATATCTGCAGGATTTCTTGGTGGAGCCACAGCTATCTGGGTTCTCTTTGAGGTAGTAGAATACCATTTCCTTACCCTGCTCTGTCATGGTTTGATAGTTGCTCTGGCTGGGTTATTTTTGTGGAGCAACGCTAGCGCCTTCATTCACAAGTAAGTTATCTTGCTGTTATACTTAAGTGATATACAACTTTTAAGAGGAATGTATATTAGAGGATTGGTATAGCAGACTCTTACAAGTTTGGGATTGAGGCTTAGTTGGTTGATTTTTTGATTGATTGATGGTTTCTTTGTCCTACTTAGATCTGCACCACACATTCCGGAAGTTCACATCCCTGAGAAACCTGTATTGGAGTTTGCCACTGGTCTTAGGAATGAGATCAATCGTGCCTTTGCAGTTCTGAGGGAAATTGCAGCTGGAAGGGATCTAAAGACGTTCCTTATGGTGCGTGTCTTGTTTTATATGCTAAGTTCTAAGATACTTTCATCTGAATGACTTGTTTGGTTACAAAACCTCATTTCTAGTCATTACATCTAGGATTTTTTGGTGTGATATCCAATGTTAATCTTGTAAACTTACCAGGTCATTGGTGGCTTGTGGATCTTGTCAGTCTTGGGCAGTTGCTGTGATTTCTTGAGCCTATTCTACATAAGTAAATTCTTCACCCTTGATTAGTTGACCTTAANGATTAGTTGGCCTTAATTTTTAGACGCAAGTTTTGGTGATTCGATATTGATTTGTGCAACTTCTTGAAACAGTTGTTGTGGTGCTCCACACGGTGCCTGTTCTGTATGAGAAATATGAGGACCAGATCGATTCTTTTGCTGAGAAGGCCTTGCATGAGCTCAAGAAACAGTATGCCGTCTTTGATGCAAAGGTATTGAGTAAAATTCCTCGAGGGCCGTTGAGAGATAAGAAGAAAGCTTAGGCTCTCACTATGTTTGGAAGAAGAAAAGGGGACGTGTTGTGTTAACAGTAGATGCATTTTGTGATTGTCCTCGTGAATTTTGATACAAGATGGTGGAACCCTGTTGACTGATCCCAAGTGTCGAGGTGGTTGAATTGATCTTTTTACAGCTATATCGTCTGATCATGGATTATATTTGCACGGATTTGTGTTTAAGACCATGGAATTGATGTTGATGTATAATATGACATGGGAATGCTCGTTAAATGGTTGTTTATTTGGCTGTTTCTATTTTTATTTTGTTAATTATTCGTTTGAGTTAATCTTCCTTTTTTTTCTTCTAATCGGTAAAGATCGTAGAGGTGGGGCAAATAGATTGAAAACGATTTATGAGGGCTGAATATCTTAAGCTGATAAGGACTTGCTACTGGGCCAATGCCGACAATATTTGTTCCATTTCTTTTGAAATTGATTTTTGTTTGAACCACCGCAGGAGATTATTAGTTTTGATGTCTTAACTCCATATTTCAAAGGTAGTTCTTTAAAGTTTCATTTCAGAGAGTTTGTGTTAATAATTAACTGGCTATATTGCAGTTGTGTGTTTTGTTTGCATTTGTCAACGGGGGCACAATTATGTGATACATCTATTCCTCCTAGTGTTGAAAAGCTCTTAGGGTTTTGGATGAGTTTAAACAGTTTCAAATTGGTGCTTGGACTTAGACGTTTGTCAGCGCCATAAATTAAGGGCAGCACCGCGTACTAAGTTCCTGATATGTGCGGGGTTCGGGGAAGAATCGGATCACACCTGTCTATCGGATTCTTCGCCATCTGCGAATTTTATTTTGACAAGGTAGTTAATGTGGTATATGGAAGGCATGATCTAATTCTTGTATTGGAGAAAACATAAAGCGGGAAAAAAATGTCATGAGCTAATTATCTGAACATAAACAAGTTCAACTTTCTTGTGCAATTAGAGATTACTCAGTTTACAACTGATGAATGTGTGTGTGGGGGGGGGGGGGTGATTTTACGTCTTCTATCAGCAAATAATTGCAGAAAATACATGGCACAGAAAGGAAGCTATCTAAAGAATTCCTTCAATCCACACATCAAATCCATTTCTGGTATCATTACATTGTAAATAAAAGGTACGAGCGGTTGGTTTCCTTACAAATAAGGGAAAGAAAAAGACTACTCAAGTCTCTTCCTCCTACTTTTCCTTTGGTGTTAAAAAGGAAACAACCAATACAGTACCTTTAGACGTGTACAGGTTAATATTACAGAAGCAACAAAACAACAATTTCAAACCTACAACAACAATTAAATCCAAAGCAAGCAGGGTCAGCTAGACTAAGTTACTACCATCACCTCTTAACATCAACTTTCTTGTGTTAGCATTTCGAGTTTCTGAAGAAACCAAATGTTTGGCACGTCGAGAAGGGTGCAGGAAGAGGAAATTAAATCTATCCTACAGGAAGTAAGATAACTGCTCCTTTTTCCTTGATCCTCCTTCCCCGTATAACTCATTCCATTGCTTTAGTTCACTCATTATTGATCCTCCAGCCGCAAAGCTAGCTGCAACCTGTTACATCAAACAAAAAAGACGCAATGAAATCAAGTTCTGCTAATAATAAGTTGTCCACGGAAGTTGCAGTCATGAATATACTATGAAACTGATTGAATAAAAGGACACACAAAGTTAAAGGGTAAAGTCGGACCTTATTAAGAAGAGCACTCCTTGAGTTCTTGTTTGAACTATATATAATTTCCATTTTCACAGAGAAATCTGGACGCTTTTACTGTAATGACTAGTCTCTCATGCATATTTTCCTTATTTTTAAATATTGTGTTTCTTTAGGTTATCATTGGTGGAACTGCTTACTAATATACTCATCTTTGACGTAATAACCATCAATAAGAATTCATTTTTGCAGATGCCTATTGAGAACCATTTGTAACTGATCTAATAAATGTATACTTCAGAAGCTTCTACACCTGCTGAAATTGACCTTATTCTAACAATCCGTTTGGCTCAAAAATCAGATCCTTGAACTCAAGATCCAATTTTAACTCTCCCTCCCCACGAGCTCTCATTGTGGTAGTTTGTTGTTTAGAAATTGGCAATTTTTCAATTTATAACACCTGGAGTTCAATAAGTATCTTAATTGATAATTACTCGTCATTGGCAAGTTGGTGCTATAGTTTTACCTATTTGGTTACTCAGGTTATGTACTTCAAGTTCTCCAATCTTTACCTAGTCAGAGTTGTATCCTTCTTGCTCTGTCGTTCATCTTAGTAAACATTAATTGATTCTGTATGAAACTTCACCATCTATTCATAAGCTTAAGCTGATTTTGAGAAATTTCTTTTTACCTGATTTTTGGCTTGTTTGAAGTCTTCCATATTCAAAGGCCGGATAGTGATCACCTTATCCTCTGTATCTTCATCTGCAGGCGGAGCAACTCCAGCTCTCTTAGCTTCCTCAGCTCTCCGCTTCTTCTCCTGCAGAAGTGGAAGTTCATTAATAAGAGGGAAACAGTAAATGCAGGAACAAGCAAGAATCAGTTAGAAATATAAACTGGTTAAGGAAGACAAGGCACATACAAGGTCTTTGAGTCTTTCTTGCTGTATCAACTCTCTAACTGGCCGGTATGCAGCAGTAGTGCACAGATTCTGTCCCAAGCATTGCCAAATATTTCTTAGTTGGTGGGATTTAAGGAATATGAAAATCAGAAACAAGATATACAACCTTGAGATCACTTCCAGAGTATCCTTCAGTCATTGTTGCCAGCTCCTTGAAGTCCAATCCGTCATCAACTTTCTCTTTGGCCAACAATGTCTTCAAGATCAACTCCCTATTCTCTGTTGATGGTAAACCAACCATAATTCTGCATTTAAGAGAGAGGATGATTACTATTCGACATCTAAAACAGAAAAAGAATGTAGTGTTTAGTGATGATGTCCATCTCATCGAAGAAGTATTAGGCATGTGCCTAATAAGAGTTTTCTTTGGTTT